TCATCTTTTGATAAACGTCTTGTATCATCGATATTAACATTTATATTTGAATGTGTTAAATATGATTTTGATGAAACATTAATTCGTTCAAAATTTGATGATCTACAATTTACAATAAAAACTCGACAAGATCGATTTATAAATGAATATAATAAAAATTTATCAATTATTCAATTATATCTTAAACAAAAATCAATAGAATATGATCGTTTATTAAATATTAATTGGCGTTTAGATTTACAATTAAAAACAAATTATACTGATAAACTTCTTCAACCAATTTATATACTTGATTGGACTAAACGAGATAAATATACAACAAATATTGATCATATACAATTTAGTTGTACACAAGAAAGTTTACAAGAACTTGTAGAAAAATTAAAAGATGCACAAAGTGTTCTTCATCAAATGCAATATCAACAACAAACTAAGAAATGATTTTTTTTTTTTGCAATAGAAAAGTTTTAATTATTGTTACACTAAAGAAATAATAATAATCGATTGTCTTTTTTTTTTTTTTTTGATTTTATTTGAATGACTTTTCTTAGATAAATTCGACTAATAACAGAGAAAATTTAGTTAAAAAGAGGAGCAAATCTTATCCCAGCACGATTTTCTTTATCTTCATGTTTATGATAATCTTAATTTGTAGAACAAATATTTGTCATATTGGTTTTTTCTATGATATCAAACAAATGTTTACATTATTAGTGTTTTGAATTATTTCTAACTGTTTTCTTCACTGAGCAATAGTAAAAATTCTTGAACTTTAATCTTAAGGTGTTATTAAAGTCAATTTTGCGTCGGGAATATTCAAATCGCATGAAACTTTTAAGATATGTTGTGACTGTAGCGGAGAGTGTATGGCGAAACTTTCAGCTTGATACTATAATATTTTCATGAGATATTCATCAAACAAGAGTCTAAAATCGTTAATTTGGCAAGTCGAAATTCTCTTTAACCTTTCATTCTCTACATTTCATGTTTATTCTGTTTGAAAGAGCATATCAGGCCCTGTAGCCTGGCATGCTCTTTCAAATAGGAAGAAAAATAAAATGTATAAGATGAAAACCTACAGAGAATTTTGTTTAAAAACTTATATAAAAAGTCTCACACATGTTGAACATCGTAGTTTTGAAAATACAATGTCTAAAATTTATAAAAGTCTTTTGCATAAATGAATCTGATCGAGGCCTATGTTTGTGTAAAGTTTTTGGTTGAAAGCTATTTAGCAAAACAAAATTATTGTCATGTAAATAATACTATTCTCGATTTTGATATTTGATCCTAGATAATCAAGTTCTAATAATTTTCCTTTGATTAAATTCTTTCGAAATATTTTTATATTTCTATTTATTTCTAGATTAGATCATTTAATATTCATATGGCATTGAATCTCTTTCGATCAAGTTTATTAATAACGAATAATCGTCAGTTAATAATTACTTTAATTAATATTCGTACACATTTTACTAAAACACCTAGTCATCATACAAAAGCTAAATGGAGACCATTTCGACGAGCAAAAATTCTTGATGTATATTTATTTATTTATCTTTTATTAATTTTGTAACCTATATTAATTATTATTATTGTTTTAGATTGATCTACCTGATTTTGATAAAGATCGAAAATTACGTTCATATACATTACAAGAACAAAGAGAATTTTTAAAACGTGAAGGTATTCCTCCTGTTCGTAGTACTGAATATAAACCATTATATATCGATGCATCAAGTAAATATTATTATTTGTTGATTAATTAATAATTTATTCATTATTTTTTGTCTCTTAGCTGAAGCATTTGAAGCTTATGTACCACCAGAAGGAGATGGAAAAGCAACATTAATGTCAAAAGATGTAAGATTTATTGAATTATTAAAAGTATTTAAATTCAAATATATTTATATATTTAAAGAGATTAAATCAATTTTATACATCATTAAAAAAGAATCTAGCAACAAGAAAACATTCAAGTACAATTCGTAAATATGAACCAGATTTTGAACCATTATTATTTGCTGATATAGCTCAACAAAGATATATTGATGCACATCAAGCATTAATGGAGTAAATTAAAATATTTTATTTATTTAGTTTTTTTTTTTTTTTTTTATTGTTAAATAAATATTATTTTCTTAGTCGTGATGAAGAACGTCTTATTCAATTAGTAACACCGGGATCATTGGCAGTAAGATAGAATACATTGCATTTTATCTAGTTTTTATTCTTTTATTTTATTAGCAAATGAGTCGTGGTCTTCGTTATAAAACTTTACATTGGAAATGGGTTGAAGAAATTGAACCATCCTATGTTGTTGCAATTAAAAGTGGAGAAATTCTTAAAGGTATGACAATGGCTCAAATAACTGTACGAATGCATTCAAAACAAGTAAATATATAAAGAATTTTATTTTTATTTCATATTTATTTTGTTATTTTCAGATTTGTACAATTTATGATCGATTTGGTCGTTTAATGTTTGGTAATGAAACATTACCAAAAGATGTTCTTGAATATATTGTTTTTGAACGTGTATTAACATTATCATATAGTCAATGGCGTGTTCATTCAAAAATATTACCATCATGGCTTCCACCATCGGATCCATTATTATATACATTTGAAAAACCAAATATAAAATATATTGATGAAGATATTCCAACAGATCCAATTGAAGATGAAAAAAAACGAGAACATATTGCTAAAGAACAAGATACAACAACAAAAACAATACCAGCTCCAAATGAATTAAAAACACCAATACCAACTCTTTCTGATATAAGTCAACCTAATAAAAAAAGAACTATTGGTTATACATAATTTTTCTTTTCAATGTATTGAAAAATAAAATTAGATTGATTTCAAATTTATAATTATATATTTCTTTTTTCTAAAGATATTCTAATAGATGCTGCAAAAATTCTTCATTGATTTTATTTCTAATACTGCGTGACAACAACTCATCACAGAGACTCGACAGTTTTCTAGGTTAGAAAGAGCACAAATTCTACTACAAAGCTATGTAAAAATATTTGATTCGAAATACTTACTAAAGGCTGAAAAAGTGCCTTGCAGCTTCATGACTTTATAGTAGTATCAAGATATTCGAGCTATAAACTCCAGTCGAGAATAAACGATTGTAGCAGCTATAAAATGTTGGCTTTTATTTTCTAGCTTTCAATGATTTTTTAGCTATCCTCTCTTTTCCTCTTCTTTTCTAGCGATTTTTTCCATTTTTTCTCTGACTTCTGTGTTTTTTGACTGTATTGGAAATTTCATCGAGCATTCTATGTGGTCATACCTTCGATGATCAAAGGTGCGCTTAGCTGGTACCTATTCGTTATTTTCTTTCGATAACAACCATTCTCTACAAGTTTCAGTCAATTATCGTCGAACGACGTTCTTTTGCCTTTAGCTTTTGTTATTCATATGGCAATTCAATAATATCAAGAATACATCCTGTGCTCTGTTAAGTGAATGGTGCTTGATTCTTTCTGTCATCAAGGAACCTTTTTAGTAGCCGATATTTTAGATTATTCTAGCGATTTATTTTTTTTTCGGATTTTTTTTACTTGAGAATCGATAATATATCTCATTTGCATCAGTATTTCATCAATCGTGGCCCTAGTTTGGGCGTGAGAAAAATAACAACTGTCACATCCAAATCGATCGATTCATTCATCATTCGAGCATATTCATTTCTTTCGTTTCATCATGAAGAATCTACTTGTTATAGTCACTATTGTGATTGGACTCGTGTTTGCTATTAGTGCCATTCCAACTCGTCGTGAAACAGACACAATACCATGCGAGCATCAAACCTGTCTCACCGATATTTCGATCTGTATATGTGGTTCGACATTAACACCAGATGATCGATGTGGCTGTCCATTTCGATGTACACAATGTTCGTTTGAATATATACCATCGTTCAACTTTAATTTTACTGGTATTATCTTTCCAGAAATCGATTGGTCCGGTCTTGTTTTCGATTTTTCGAATTGGGATTTGAATCTTGGCAAGAAAAAATAAATTTCTAGGACTTGTTCCTACCAATGATACATTCACCAATAAATGATATTATTTGTTGTTGCATCTAGAAAAATTTAAAATTGTTTTTTTTACGGATCCTATGATGACTAGGATCGAATAGGAACAGATATCGATTTGTACTATCTGTGAGAATGCGTCCATCAATAGTGAATGCTTTTATTTTCTTCTCAATCATATCAGAAGATCATTAGAATGAGTTTGAAAGAAAGATTTTGGACGTGTTTTTATATTTCTTGCTCCGTAAGTAAAGGAGGGTGTGGATGTGGATATGAGTGTGAGATAAGTCAACAACGATACCCACACCCAGATTGAATAATCAACTGAATCTTTACGTCGCAGACTTGGGCAATCATCAAATACAAAAATTTTTACGTTACTAAACAAATCTTTTTCTTTGCGTTATTACGATAAATTAATAAAATCTAAATTTCGACTGAGCATTAATAATATAATTATGAGAACAGACACGAGTTATAAATAGATGTTCACTAAAAAGCAGTTTTTTTTACAGACAAGAAGTAAAATAATCGTATGTTCTCTAATAAATATTGTTTACCTTTCCATAAGGTGATCAAATTTTTCCTTAAAACCGCGATTCCGAAAGTTGTGCACTAAATAATCTATTCATGTTTATGCACCGAAAGGTAAAAATTCAAGCTGGGTAGACAATTGAAATGATAGTGGTCCGAAACAAGTTTATTTGAAATGTTGTTAATAAGGCATAGGATAATACTCATAAGTTCATCGATTGGATGCGGAAATAATGTTTTGATCATCTTTAAAATAATCTGTCTTATATATGAAGGCACTAAAGTATACGCATATAATTAATGATGTTGTCCATATAATTCTAGTAAAGATATACAAAAAAAACTTTTAGAAAGGAGCTTTTGGAACATGCTGTACTATCTGCTCGCTTTATCTGTTGGACAGATAAAGCAAATGTTCAATGAGAAAATGCAGGTAAAGTGAACGTGCTAGCCATTTTGAATGAAGATAATCTATTTAAGAGTATCTCATTGATTTTCACTTCTCAAAATTAAAATTGATCATGATTACCTTTGACAAATCTTTTCACAACGCTTAGATCTACTACTAATTAGCAGTTCAAGCAAAAATAATCAGTATTATCTTTTTGCGCTGATCTCTCTTGGATGTGAGTGTGGGTATTCCTCTCATCTACATTCACACCCAATTTTCAGAAATATTCACTAGATACATATTTTAATCAGTTGAAAATCAGAAAATGAACAGTGGTTCTTGCAAAAGAATTTGAACACTATGAATCATGGAAGTTAATAAAATCCGAATCATTCGTTATCAATTGATTGAGAAGACAAAAAGTGACAAAATTCCTATCATCATTAGATTTTTCTAAAAATTGAACACAACGAACAGTAAAACTATTGAACTCATCTATTTTTCTCTTGCTCGGTCTACTAAAAACTGGAAAAGTGAAGAAAGTGCAAACTTGTTTCTGTGCTAAAATATGTTTTCAAAACAATTATATTTTTACTCAGTTTTTACAGTCAGGAAAATGTTTTATATTTTCACGCATACTGTAGGAAAACTCCGGCAGATTATGCATCAGTAGGTACTACTTCGATACACTTCTGAATACAGAAAACCAGCTTAAACATTCACATTTTATTATATTACAAATTACTATTTCAATGCACATACTTAATAATAATCGTCATATAAGAATTATTCTAAAATTTTTATTGTTTTTTATTTTATGAAAGATTCTTTTTTTTCAGCACAAAAATAGTTTGGAGTTTATTTTAAACCTATGTTCTCATTAAGCAATTTCTATACCTTATAAAACAATTATGTTTTTTTTTTAATATTACATGACTATCAAGAACTGATCTACAGTGGACGAGGTGTACGACTACTCTCCCTTTTTTATGATCACATCCTTTTCAAAAATTCTTTGATCTGCCCCTAATAACGACAATTCAGTCAATTTCCATTGTAATAGACATGTTTACTTTTTTTTTTTTTTTTTTACTAAGCATGACCTCGTCTATTCTCATATGAATGAATATCGATGAGAACCGCAACAAAATAAATAAATGTCGGAAAGAGGATACCATCTGTTGATAATCATATTGGATGATACATTGGTCAATATTACTTCTTTTTGTTTTTACATCATGATCATATATTTTATTCTTTGTCGACGGAAAAAGTGAGAAGAAAATAAAGAACATATATATCTATATATATGTTTTTTTTAGAAAGATGACAATTATCAGAAAATATGTGTCAGTCAAACATTCATCTTCTTGATCTACCCAATGACATATTGATTATCATCTTCAAAGAAACTTAACAATGTTGATATTCTTTATTCTCTATTCGGAATTAATAATGAACGACTTGATATATTACTACAAGAAGATGTATTTATTAATACTCTCAATCTTACAACAACATCATCAATCACTGATTTAAAACTTGATCGATTTTGTACTTATATATTACCTCAAATTCATCGTCGTATCAAGAAATTCTTTCTCGAAACAACATCTATGGAATGTATTCTTCTTCTTAATGATTATCCAAATCTGATCTATCTGGAAATATTCAATTTCGAAGAAGAGAATGTTCATTATTTTATAGATAACCACTTAATATTCTCTAAAATAATCAAAATAGAAAAGTATTGAATTAATTATATATATTTTTTTCTTGTTTAGATAACTCCGTTTTTCGACATCTTTTTAAACATCAAATCACAGATCTTATTCTTTATAATAATGATGAATATACTAATCCAAGATGATTTATAACCTATACTACAAATGTCTGTGGACATATCTTATCTCTTTTTGAAAATCTAAAGCATTTGACAATTATTTCATTATCTATAAATCAATATCCACCTTTGTCACTTTATAATCTACCACCAAATATTTATTTATCTTTGACTCTTACTGTATTATGTGTTAATGATTGTGTCTCTTTACTTGGTGTTCAACTCAAACAACTAAGTACATTCATCGTTCAAATTGATGATATCTTCAAATGGTCATCGATTCCTCGCAATAAGGTGAGTTCATAGTATTTTGTTCTTATTTCAAATTAGTTGATAATATCGACAATGAAATTATATTGATGCATGAGTGGCGCAAGGTCAATGTTTTAAGAAAAGTAATTGTCACATTCTGTAGTACTGGTGTGCTGCTAACGTGTTGATGTATTGCATGATTACTATAATAGAATAGTGAATACAACACGATAGTTTTGATGATTGTGAAAGGATTTGAACTAAAGAGATTTATTCTTGTTTTCCTGTTAATCGAAAAAGATTGATTGTCTAGTATTTTCTCAATAATTAACTATTTTTGACTCTTTTTTAAATATTCAAGGAACAAATTGAATGACTAAGTTTTGTTCTAACAATTATACAAACTAATAAATTTTTTCTTTTGCTTTTTTGAGTACAAAAAGCAAGCAATTTTTCTTAAACTATGCAAGAAAAACTGGAAAATTTATCAACATTATGTAGCCATTATTCACTTACTCAGAGCAACTCTTTGATGATCATGATATGAACAGAGTGAATTATATCACATAAAATTCCTTAGATTCAAAAATACAACAGAATAAAAGATGATAATATCCAAATAAACTACATTGTTTTAGGACATGTCGTTGAAAATATTTCGAAGAAGAAACTTGTATATTTAACTAGAATATCTGGAAAAATGAAAGTTACATTATAGAAATGAGAACTATTTTGTTTGATGATATTAACAATATTTCATGTTGATTCAGAAATCTGATAACGTTTAGGTTTCAAAGTGTCTTATAATCTTGTAAAATTTTTAATTTGCTCATTGTCCTTTTGAGAACTAACTTCTAAAAAATATCTATTATTTTCGATATGGAGAATGTTTCTATTATTGAATTTAGACATGATTATTACATATTATAGATCAGATGAAATACAAGAAATATTGAAGAAAGTTGAAAATAAGTGGAGCGTTTTTAATCAGTTTTTCCTATAAATTTTTTATGTTAGTTGAACTAACAAATATGCGTTCCAAAGGTATTTTTATATTTTATAGGGTGAGCTATATAATTTAAAGTGTTACTCATTAACAATTAGTTATAATATTACTTATGATTATGCACCATTGGTTGTACCACTTCTTCGACATATGACACATCTCGAAAAGTTAACTTTGTATCTTTGTACTTGTGCGTCACATTCATTTTCCAATGATCCAATTCTATTCGTCGATGATACAAATCCATTTATTGATGGCACTCGTCTTCATAATGGATTTCTTATTCATATGCCTCAACTTCATATATTTAACTTTTATATTAGTACAGAAAATCTCATTTCTCCTTCACATCCTCGTAAATCTAATGATGATATTCTGCGAACTTTTACAAATACTATATATGGACAAACAGCTTGTATCATAAATTATTTCAATGGTGACCATATGGTCATATGTCATGTTTACTCGCTTCCATACACATTTACTCGTTTGACAGACATTACGACTCATTTTCCAACTATTATATTTGACACTGTAATTCATTTGTATGTCTATGATATGATTTCAATGAAACATGAATTCTTCATGCGAATTAGTCGAGCTTTTCCATTGCTTAAGTGTTTCTCTATAGAGAATGATGCAAACCAATATCGGAATCATCATAAATTGAAATTTGTTAAGATTTCATCTTATCCAATTATTGAATATTCTCATCTAACATCACTTGATATTATACATGCAAATATAGATTATGCTGAGCAATTTTTACTTGAAACAAGGGAGCATTTACCTCGTCTAACTGAGTTAAAAATCAACTATTACGTATTAAAAATTGTAACAATGAACTTTACAAGAGATGAAACACGACGCAATTGTTCTAAAGTAAAACGATTACTTGTCGAAGGACCAAGAGTTTTTTCAAAAGATGTTTATGAATATTTTCCTTCATTATAAATGGAACTTTACTATTCATTTTACGAAAAATAAACTATGTAAAAATTCTCAAATTCTAATAATAAAATCACAAAGATTAGGAAATAGGAATCGTTTATGATCGACTATTGGATTGTCTAAAAGTTATTTCCATTCAAAAAATGTTCTTTTTTATTATTATATTAGTTTGTATTCCTTGATGAACTTATAACGTCATGGCAATTTAAAACAGTAGGATTTCAACAGAATAATATTAGAGCACTTTTTCGTGAAAAATGATAAATATTAAACATTAGAGACCACCAGATTAGCCATGTCAACGTTTCCATTCTTGAATGTTCCGTTCTAAAAGAATGGAAGTGTATGTCATACTACCTTTTTCTAGCAGTTTTGAAACATCCGAGATGTTTATAAATATTTGCTTATATTTTTATGTGAGACTGTTATGCATTCCCCATTCTTCAGAATGGAAACACATGCCTCGTTCCCGTTCCTAGAAATGGGAACGCATCTCGCGTTCTTCGTTCTTTAGAATGCAAATTTGGGATGTATTTTACTCTCTAGAGCTCTAAAACATCTTTTAGGATTTCTGAGTCTTATCAAGAAAGAACCTAAGACATGTTTTTGTAAATGCTGTTACTGTTCAACTCGAATGACGGATACTAGCGTTCCTCTTCTTGAATGTGGATGTGAGTGTCAGAGTGTTGAAGATTCACGCATATCCAGACTCAACCCATACTCCACCCACACTTTAATTAGCCTAAACAAACAAAAAATAGGAGATTTTCAATTTAAATTCAATTCAATTTATTGTTTCTTTTTTAAATATATTATTCGATAAACATTTTATTTAGACAAACATGCAAAAACAAATGTTTAAGAAAATATTATGAAAAAAAGAATTTAATATTTAAATTAAATTTTATTAAATCTATTAATAGTCATTTTTTGTTAGAAAAAAATAATAATCTTGAAAAAAAAAACCAAATTTCATAATACGTAGCAAGATATTTTATTGGTTTTTTGTTGAATTTTATTAATATGATTATCTTGATTTATTTTTGATTAATCAATAAATAAATTGTTCTAATTAATAATTTTAATCAGATGTTATATGAAATTTTTACCTGAAATAAATTCTTAAAAATTTACAGTTTATTGATAGAATTATTTTAAAAGAAAATAAATCGAAAAATTCTTTTTTTTATTCATGAATAGAATAAAGAAAAACGAAAGATCGAAGATCTATCAGAGAATTGAAATGAAATTCTATATCTATAGTTAACTAGAAATAAATAATAAGATTTTTATCAGTTCAACAAATCTTACACTTATCTTGATTGTTTAGTCTTCTTTTTTTGTTGATTATCGAACTGACGATTATTTTGCCGAATGATATATTAACTTAAAGTTTTAATTCGAAGTATTTTAACTTACATTAGCCCATTCCTTCTCATAACACATATCTGTGAACCTGATTATTGAGTCGATATTTCAAAAAGAGTTCTTAGAAATTAAATTGATTGTCTATTTCGAATTCTATTGAAATAATAAAGTTAAAGATATTCTTATGTTAATTAAATATTTCAGTCACAAAAAACGTCTCCCGTTAAAAAAGATTTTAAAAATAAATCTATTCTATTGAAGTTTTTCTTCATTACAACTTCTAAATATTTTATCGTTTTTTTAAATCATTTTTAATGAAGAAAGTTGATTTAAATGAACATATCATATTTAATTTGAATAAATATCTTAATAAGATATATTGAAAATTATTTTCAATATTGATCAAGAATTGATTCAATCAAGAAAAATAGTCTTTATACATAATTATGTTTTATCGTATGAAGAACTTTTATTTTATTTTTCTTTATCTTTTTATCTTTCAAATATAATTAAATAGGTTTTTCTTAACTTAATCATTTGTTCGAATAAAATCTATGAATTTCGATACTTTAATAGAGGCAAAACAAAATAAAAATAAAACAAATAAAATATTCATTTAAATTAATTTAAAAAACTACGAAAAGACAAATAATTATTTTCAATATTATTTTCATTATTTTATTAAATATCTAAATAAGTTGTTTTTTTTCGGAAAAAATTAGCATTGATAAGAATATATAAATGAAATGGATAAAAAAAATATTATTGTAAAATGTTTAATCAATCTAATTTAATAAAAATATTTCTTTATCAATAAGTTTTTCGATACGAAATTATTTGATTGCATTAATTGAGAAAAAAAAATGAGATCAGATAAGAAATTTTATTCGAAAATAAATAAGAAAACTTTCTAGAATTACCATAAATGAAAATTTAAGAAATATTTTATTAATTTTTCATATATAGATAAACAATTGATTGATATCTAAATTAGAGAAATCTATCTTTAATTGATAAAAGTAAAATCATCGAATTCAAATTATTTTTACGTGTAATTTCATATTAAAAAAGAATATATTCAAATTAAATTTCGATAAGACATTTTTAAGATTTTAAATATATTAAATTAATTGAAAAATAAAGAGAAATATTTTCATCATGATTAACAAATCGAAATAAAAATAAAAACACCTCAATTCATTGATTTAACACGAAATAAACAAATAAGAAATGATAAAAATTATTTCTTAAAGAGATTTGAATAAAATCTCTGAAACATAATAATAGAAATTCTGGTGGAGATTTTGGAAACGGGAACGATTTAAAAAATTGACGTTCCTAAAGAAAAACTTTGTTTTATTTTCATTTGCATTAAAAGGTATTTATGTAACAGATATTTTTTTTTGAGTTCCTATTTTAATATATAGTTAACAGAGTAATAACAAATACCTATTTATAAACAGTTAGACAAGTTCATTATATCATAATTAAATTATTTCAATCATCATTTTCTTTATCATCATCACCATCATTGAAAAGACTATTATACAGATTATTTTCGAAGATAATTATATCGTCGTCTTTTCATTTTGAATACATTCATATTTTCATTTGTGCTGTTGAAGTGCAAATGGGAATGTACATGTGGATAGAGGGGAAGAAGGAGTATGAATTGTAGCCATATTTGTTTTCTAACATGTCTAAGCATTTTCATATACTTATCATTTATGCTTAGGGTTCGGGCACAAAGTCAGTATGAGTTTTCAGAAACTTGAAAACCCACAAGTTCCAGAATTTTCGAGTTTCTTTTCAAAAGACACTCGGAAACACTTTTCTCTACTTAAGTTCTATCATGTTCGAGAAGATGATTCTGGAAGATTCCAGAAATTTTAAGAAGGTGGTTCTGGAAGGTTCTAGGAGAGTTTCCAGAAGCAGAAACTCGAAAGAGACACTCTTAATCACGGTGTGTGTGGTGCACCCTCACATCGTTTTCTACATCTAGTATTTATAGAAAACGTGTCAGCTCTGACGAATAGTTTATCAAACTTTTCACGAAAAAAAGCGTCATATCGGCGATACTAGCAGGTCCTTCGGTAGTATTAATTATTTTTAAACAAGAAATAATCACCGTGGACCTTGACCAGATGCAGATTGAACTGGATAAAATGGCCGTCTCTGGGACCAAGGTTGTGACTGAAGTCGCAAGGCCAGTCATACCACTTCCGTTCGTCAAGCAGTTCGTGCATAATATGGCTGAAATTTTAGTTTATGTGGACAAACTCTTGACAGAGGGGCAAATGCGCAAAATGTCGACTAAGAATACCGCTAACAATTGTTCGAACGATGAGCCATTTACCGTTATAGAATGTTTATTCATCGAAACTGTTAGTAGTTAGCTTGGTTAAAGTATGGTAATATAGCAAATAAAGAACAAGAAATGTCGGCGCTCGACTTGACATTGTCTTGTTTCTGGAATATATTATTAAAGCGTGTATAAAAATATGAAGCTAGGCTAAAAAACTATAAGAACAGATCGGGATTATTATTGATTGTGATTTACAATATTCATGATAAGTTTAGAGTGATACCGAACACTCCATGAAACTGGGGTTGAAGGATTGAAAGGGAAAAGTGTCTGTCATTCGATGCCGCTCGTCGATTTTCTCTATACGCTCAGTTAGTTGTTGCTTGAACAAATAATAATTGTCAAGATGAGATTTAACTTGTTCTTCAGTCATGATTGAGAGCGGCTTATCTTCTTGACTGTCAGTAGCAACGCGCGGAATGAGATGGCTCCAATCACCCATCAGGCCTGGCATCCTCATGGCAGTCAGTATAGTCAAAATGAGCATTAGACTGTAATTCTGTACGGATGGCAGCAAAGATGGTAGGTCTCGTCTTAATTTGGTACCAATGAAACCAGGATCAAAAAGGTAATCGGCGACATGTCCAACGTGCTCGTGAATGCCGGTGCATGCACAAATAAGTTGCGTGATCACATCAATTAGATGGTTGCGACTAGGGATGCCATTCAGCCCTAACGGTTTGCACAACTCGGAGATAAATCGGCACTCACAAGGTTCAGCCATAAACGCACGTTTTGAAGTCATCTCGCCTTTCTTCTCGTCCTTCGTTGATTCCTCTTTGCCATATTCGATCTCGAAGAATCGCCTTACATAATCACGCACGATTTTCCAGAATGCGGGCAAGTCTTCTGCAATAGGATAATGCTTGACCCAATCGGATTGATTTTCATCGGACAGTTCGTTTGTTTCACTGGGCTTGTTGCTGTGATTGTCAAGTTCAACGGAGTCTATCAGGTTGCACTTATAGTTTGGACAGTTCTCCCTTACTGCATAGCTGTCTCTATCTTCTTTCGCATGTATATTCTTACATCGTTGATTGGTTGACTCAGTTTGCGACTGTCGATTCTGTTCCAGTTTCATGTTATCAGCAATCCAGTCAGGCATGATACGGAATCGATAATGAGCAATGACATAGTCACAGAGCTTGAGAAACTCATCGAACTCGAATCCCCAGATTCTATGACACAGACCGCCTTGGTTAACCAGCGAGGTCGCTGCAGAATAGTTGATGGTCACAGTGCGATAGGTGAATGGTTTGAGGAAGACACG